AGATGTATCTAGCAGCGGGGAGCCCCTGACGTCACTTAGAACAGTTGCAATTATCGCGCATCCGTCACTTTGCTACAGCTTGGCTAGCCAGCTACAACTGCTCTTTCGCTCTGTTCCTATTCGCCCTTTCCCCACCCTGGTTAATGTTTGTTGATGCTCGGGTTAATTTCTTTATTTTTGTTTTAGTTTTGTTTTTTGTTGTTTTGTTTTGGTTGTATCGGGTTGTTTTTTTATTTGTTTTTCTTTATAGGATACAATCTATAGACTACTATAGAATGCGTCCTTTTTTCCACTGATCATCAGTGTGACAGGTGCTGGAGGTCTGCCTTGGCAGAATTGTCATGGCAAACTCCTATTGCTACTATAATTAGCCTTATTATTACGTTTTTTGCTGTTTTGCCATAGCTGTTTGCCATTGCTGTTTGCCAGTTTTGCCATTGCCAGTTTGCCATAAATGTTTGCCAGTGTTTTGCCTAATGTTTGCCATTGCGGTCATTTGCCTGACAAGGCTAGATCGCCGACTAGCCTTGGCCACCAACGGCACCTACCTCCAAACTCGGATACTCTGCCGTTAACGATCAGTGTGAACCTGGCTTAAGCATTATCGTGCAGCACATGGTGGTCAACCTGCAGTTATCAGAGTGAGAAAATAATGTTAATTCTTTTCATTATATGTAGTAGTCTTGTATTTGGAGGCAAATAAATAGAATTGAAAGATATAGTTTAAGTTTCTTGCCCTTATAAGTTTCATCATTTATAAAGTGGACCACCATCGAGGCATCGAGCAGGGTGCGATAATTCGCGTACCAACGTACCAGAGGTACGCCAAAATTACTGTCTGGTACTTCTTTGTTTTTAGCCGAGTACCACGTAGGTACACGAGAATTTGCTATTCGCGTACTTACATTTTCCTTCTACCAATAACTAGCAAACCTTCCAAGGTATTCAAAACCGTCAATAACTTTAGCTGTACAATGTAAATTCCACACATCCGACATATTTTGGGATCAAACAAAGTTGTTAACTTTGTTATAAGTGTTTATTAATTATTAAATATATAAAATTCAGAAAGGTTTAATTTTTTCCGTCAAAGACCGTGCATTATATACGTATGTGTAAAACGCAAGACTCGAAAGTAGCCTTAGGTACACCTTGACTTTTAAGTTCGTACCAGCTCAATTACTCGGCAAGAATTGTTGGAGTACCAGTCAGGTACGGCTAAAAATATTGAATTATCGCACCCTGCATCGAGTAGATCGAGGGCGTGTTTAATTTGGAAGAAGTAATTTCGCTGGCATCAGAGTGACAAAACGTAACAAAGCAACAGTTTTACTATAAACACTAACACCAACCCTATTCCAAACACCAGCTCTAACCCTGATCCTAATCTCAACACTAACCCTAACCTAACCCTACTCCAAGTTTGTTTCTAAACTTATTTTGAAGAAAAAAGTTTTGACGAAATGTCATTCAGAGGTCAGCGAAATAACTTCTTCCGTTTAATTTATATGGGCGAGAGTTCGCTACTTAGCCTGATCGAGTAGATCGAAGGCGTGTTTAATTAATATTCATAGTACTCTTAATGATATGCGAAGATTGAATATGCGAAAATAACCCATATTAATTGACAATTATTCGCCGAAGGCGAGGTGATTATCGGGGAATATTCGCCAAGACGAAGTCGAGGTGAATATTTCCCGGTAATCACCGAGCCTGAGGCGAATAATTGTTTTAGTATTTTTACACAAGTCTTTTGTGTTTCTTGGAACTGAATTTATTTTCATTTCGCTTATTTCTTTAACAGTAACTTCCACAAAACGGCTAGCCGCCATTTTGAAAATTTCGGTTTTGTTATATTCACCTGTAGGTGAATATAACAGCTTAATACAAATTTGACCAATCAACTTGCAGGATTTGTCATAGGCAAAAATACTAATGTAAATTAATGTTAATAAATGAATGCATTACACTGTTGGATGCCTATAAATACCAAGTTTGGCCATAGTGCTCCCTTCTTGCTTAGTTTTAAAACGGCCTCTGTGCGGAGGAGAACGGCCCACCCAGACTTCCCGCCCCTTCGTTTGGGTGGGTCGAACTCCACCGCACACCGTCTCAGCCATGTTGTTCCAGCCTATCTGAGTCTGGTCTGAGCACCATTTACTCCATTCCTTATTCTAGCTGAGGAAAGAGTAGAGCAGTATGAAATAGGATACTCCTCTTACCAATATTGACATTGTTTTGATTTTTAGAATCCAGAAATTGTATCGAGTTATTTTGACGCCATTTTTTCATTTCCTGCCTCGCCTGTAAGTAATTGTTACTTTCTAAAGCTTTGAAAATCTTTCTTCCGTAATTGTTACCTTTGCGAAGAATCACTTTTGACAATTTCCTCTTCAGGTTTATATACGTACTGTGAGTGAACTGCTGGCTTTCTGCTCCAAAATTAAAGACTTTGAAAAGCTGGAGAAACATAAGGTTTGAGAAATGATCGTGACAAATCTTTTCCATCTTGCAATTCAGAACTAATTTGGAAATTTGTTTTTAGAAAAATATCATTGATCTCTATGTGAACACAATTTTCTTGGGAAAAATAAAACAGAAAACATGCTATTTGGTAAGCAAATTAGCCGTTGAAACGCGTTATTTATATTTTGGTAAGAATCACAGACAAGCATATTTTGAAAGGAATATATAACGATGTGTTTAGAAAGCAAGTTCAACGTTACTTCGGCAGATAACTCACGAGGAATTTAAAGAAAAAATTTTACCCGCTGTTCAAAAATCTTTGCTTCGTAACCCTGAACTCGTCATTGAAGGTTGGTTTATAATCCTGTAAGGGGCTGTTTATATGGTCCCGCTTACCCGGGATTCAATGAAGTGTGACGTATTTTGAGCAATTGAAATACGTTTTCAGCCCTAAACAAAAGTTAGATAACCCTAAATATTGTTTAAACGAAATTAGGAACGCCCTGGAAGTTATGTAGTGGAAGAAGACGATTTATTGCATTCAACAACATTTGGTTTTTGTCCAGTAAAACATGGAATTTCATACAATTTGTAACAAGCAATTTTGTTAGATTATGAAGTGCGACTTATTTCAATTGCTCAAAATACGTCACACTTCATTGAATCCCTGGTAAGCGGGACCAGATAAACAGCCCCTAATAATATAATGTCCTGTTAGTTGTATTACCGTAATGTCGCCATGAATCAACCTTTATTTCTCAGTGTTTAATATCCAGCTCGTTATATTTCCTAGCTGTCTCACATCTTTTGAAAGATGTTTCTATTGATTTATCCCAACATGCAGCGGTTCTGTGTAAGAGCTTGTCAGGTATTCATTTATTCTCATTTCTTGTCCTTCCTGCAATATGCAATACACCCTTTCGATATTACGTCACAACTATACTGTTTTCAACTTAGGACCACCTTAAATGGAAAGGATTTCAAGTTTTTTTCTCATGGCCTATGCACAGAGAAGCAGAACATCCTTCTTTAACACATGCGCGAAAAATTTCGGATTTTGATCAATAAATATGGAAATACGCATTAACATGAAAACGAGGCTCCAGGTCATGATTTGGAGCCTCGTTTTCGTGTTAAAGCTTATTTCCACATTTATTGGTCAAAGTAAAGAATTCTTTTTCATGCATGTGTTAAAGAAGGATGTTCTGTTTCTCTGTGCATAGCACATGAGAAAAAAACTTGAAATCCTTTCCAGTTAAGGTAGTCCTAAGCATAGATAACTTGTAAACACTAGATAGTGCATCTAATTATTCTGCAATTCAAAAATTGAAGCCGTGATTGCAGTCTCGGGATATTCCCATGAAATGAGAAGATTCGTATGTTTTCTATTTCTTAAACAGGGAACTTAAACATTAAGCTAAACTTATTCCAAATACATTTTTAAACTATTCAAATGATGAAAGTTATTGTTGTTTTTTTAAGCGTTTATTAGCGAGTGGGAACTACCAACATGACCGCCATCTGTTCAAATGGCGGTAACCGCTGGAATATTCTTGGCTTCAATTTTACTAAACGAGATGCGCTATCTAGTGTATACAGGGTGTCCCCCCAAAAAGTGATACTTTACAAATTAACCTATTGTTATAATTTGAATGCCCAAGCATTAAGTTGACCCCCAGGTGCATAAACTTCTGCTTCTGAAAAATAAGAAAGCAAACCGTTTATTAGTGTAATCGTTTTGCTTGACTCGGGCGTTAAAATATTTGGACAAAGCGAAAACGTTTTAAAATGCTTAAATGTAAATACAAGTTCATTAAATTCCCAGGCGTGTAATCACACGCGTTTAAGAGCGGCTTAAGAACAATGAGATCATTTCTATAGTGTCACTTTTTTGGGGGACAACCTGTATAAGATATCTATGGTCCTAAGTTGAAAACAGTGTAGTTTTGACGTAATTATCGAAAGGTGGCATTGTCTGATTATAATTTTGTCTCAGTTACATGTGAGAAGAATGCTTCCAGTTTGGCTCAACCAAACACTATACAGCTTTTCCTTAAATGAATATCTACTGTAATAACTTTGTTTCCAGCCCATCTTCATTCGAAGGACGAGTTTATCAGAGAGGAAGCCGCACTGTGTATAGAGAATTTATCTCGGCAATGCAGTGACTCGACTGGCATTAAGGAGATGATAGAACGATTGTTTGCTGTTCTAAATGGTAATTTGTTACTTCTTCCATTCAATTTCAATTGATAAAAAAATTCTGTGATTGATGTTCGGAAGCTTTACTAATGGCTATTTGTTTTTAAACATTAGGAGCGGAGGGGAAGTTAACGCTTT